CTACTACTACTTCTACTACTACGACGCCGGCTAGTACTACTCCTCTTTGCTTCTTTCCAGTGTTGGTGGTACTGCAAGTACTGGTGGCCAACCAGAACGGACTGGGATGGAATCGCCATGCCCATCTATGACCCGAACACCTGAATCCGAGTCCCGGAGACCCAAACTTCAGGCCTACCTTCTTCTTGCGGCTTTGCTGCCCTCGGATGCCTATGCCTTGGCAGCGCTAGTGCTGCCGGGCCCTCAACAAAGGGCGCTCATACGGTTCACAGAGTACTCTTCGGGGTATCACCCTCTGCAGAATCCGACAAATGTCATGCACTTTCTCAGTCGGCAAGCCTACTGGTGCCTGCAGTGGTAAGAAGCCAATGCATTTGGGGTTGTAGGTGTGGTTTCGGAGGCCAAGATAGCCGTGCTTGCTAAATCCGGACACGTAAATGTGCTGAACCATAAGCCCGAAGCCCCACATCATGGATCAACATTTGATCCTTCCGAAGGGCACAGAAGCAAAACCATCCGAGTTTTCAGGTATAAATGGTGGCTCAACTCATCGTTGGCGTCCCTGTCAAAGGCCTGCTCCCTCCATCCTGCTCCTGCGTGGGCTGTCGGTGCGGCGCGGCAACAAGGTGCGAGGTGTTCTAGTTGGTGTGGGTTGGATGGGCGAGGGTGGGCGGGCTGGCCCTTCCTCTCGCCCTTGGGTGGTTAGGATTGGGTACTTCATTATCATTATTATTACTGCTATTCTTCTTATGGTTGTCATTGTGTTCTTATTTTCATAATTATTACTGACAATCCTGACGCTAGCGTAATCTACTCCCAAAGCCCCATTCTACGTCTTAAGTCCCCCACAGAAGCAGGCCTGGGGACCAGATCGTAGCGTTTAGGGTTTTGGGTTTAGGTCCAGGGTTTGGGGTTCAGGATTCAGGGTTTAGGGTTTAGGCTTCAGGATTTCAAGCTTAGGGTTCAGGGTTTAGGGTTCAGGGTCTGGGGTTTAAGAGGCTGCATACTTTCAGCCCTGCTATGGGGACCTAAATAGTTACAAATACTATTTTGGGGAGGTTCCCTATTATAATTACAGTATAAGATACCCCCCAAGCTCTACGGTTGATGGTAGAAATCCTGCATTACCTTAAGGACCCTAAACTATGCTAACTATGGTATATTCCTTAATTTTGGGTAATGCAGGATTTATATCATCAACCGTCTTCTAACAATTAAGGCCCTTACAGTAGATCTGGTCGGGGGTTCAAGAGCTGTGGGGTGCACACTTCAAAGAATCCCTCAACCCCTAAAGCCCAAACCCTAAAGGATCCACCCCAAGGCAAACCCTAAATCCGAAACCCTAAGCCGTCAGTAAGGCACCATATCAGGTTTAAAACAACTATTCCTCAACCAGGCACTCGGGAGTCTGTTCAGGTTTAGGGTGCCGGGTTCAAGCGGACGCAGCGATTTTGCTGGGAGTGGATTCGAGATTTGAATGATGAGTTGCTTTAGGTTTGATTCAACTTTATGATTTTTTTCTTCGTGGCGACTGGTGCAGAGATGAGATGAAACAACTCGTCTGGTCTGGTTTGCGAGGCCGCGAGGTTCTGCATCGGGGTCGGAAGAACGCTACGCTCAATGTTCCATCTTGGTTCTAGGATTCTAGGCGGAAGTTTTTCACCTGGGGAGCAGGTACGCTTTCGTTCATGATGCTGCAAAATGGCACCGGGACGTAGCGAAAGGATGGCTAAGAGCTTCGGTTCGAAGTTTTGGCTGCGCTTTAAGGCTAAATGTCCGGATCTAGGAGATGTGTCCCTATCTTGGCGCGAGCGTGCCCCGCAGCAGACGGCAGAGGGACGTGGCTACGATGTACAGCCAAACCTCTGCAGATCGCTAAGCCCTCAACCCTAATATAAACCCTAAACCGCTGCAGAAAAAGGCCTTCAAAAAAAACCACCCTAAACCGCAAGGACCTAAAGCCCTAAACCAGTCGTGTCGGGTCCTGTCTGAGGCCTCCGTGCGCTAGCTAGCCTGCGAGAGGCCACAAGAGCAGGCTTTAGGGTCTCAGGGCTTAGCTGCAAGCTAAGAAAAAGTAGAAAAAAAGGGGGCTCGGAAGGATTAGCAACCATGAGCCCTATAAAAGTCTCTACACAACTGTGCAGTACTTGTAAAAAGACTACGCTTCCAAAGCCCTATTCCACATGGTTAAGTTAAGACCTCTGAAGTAGGTGTTTCGATCTTTGCCTCCTGCTCCGACACTGCTGTCGCTAGTGTTCCCACGGCGACTGATGGCCACTGCTGCTACTACTATGACGACTTCTAGTACTCGGGACAGATTTGTACCATTGCCGCTATGAAGATGGTAAACGGGGTTGAGGGTCATTACCTCATGTTATCCTCACCTTTCTCCTTGCCAGTGTGAGGTACAGTTCTGAAGCTGTCAGAGATCGCCTAAAATCCTAAAACCTAAAACCTAAAACCCTAAAACCCTAAACCCCTCAAACCCTAAAGCCCTAAGACCCTAAAACTCTAAAACCCTAGAACCCTAAAGCCCTAAACCCTTAAACCCTAAGACCCTAAGACCCTAAAACCCTAAAGCCCTAAACCCTTAATAAACCCTTAAACCCTAAAACCCTAAAGCCCCAAAGCCCTAAAACCCTAAAGCCCTAAACCCTTAAACCCTTAAACCCTTAAACCCTAAAACCCTAAATCCCTAAAACCGTGAAGCTTGCAGGTCAGAGCGCTGGGAGTGCCGCATCTCCGCGCTGGCCCTCGGATGCTGGCGCTGTACATAAGGCTGAGCCGATGGCCGTGTTGAGGGAGGTAGAAAGGCTGATGATACTAAGATACTCTCTATGATATGATGCTGCGAATCATATGGACTAGATCCACTTTAGTCACTAAGTTGGGTTTAGGAGGTTACCCTAAACCCTAAACTCTAAACCCTAAACCCTAAACCCTAAACCCTAAACTCTAAAAGTAAGGCCTGGGTCGACGAAGTCAGCCAGGGCCCGGGACTCGCTTTCGGAGAAAGAGCAGCGGTCCGGTGTCAGCAGCTCTGGGGTTTTGGGTTTTAGGGTTTCGGGTTAAGTTTAGGGTTAGGATTTAGGGTTTAGGGTTTAGGGTTTGGGGTTTTTTTCAGCGTGCAGAACTGAGCATGTAGCGCAAGCGAAATTCGTCGTGCTGCGGTAAAAGCGCACTTACTGGCGCACCGCGGTGGAAAGCTTCTGAAAAATAAAGCCCGTAGGCGGGAAAAAGTATGGAGACTCTGCGGACTACCCCGCGCCGTCATGCTGTAGCGTTGCCCACCACGGCTGTGGACCATAGGTCCTCATGCTTGGTTTCCAAGCATGGAGCCCTTTTTGGGCTGGCGACGGTGTATGACAGATATCTCCTTCAACGTACACCTGGAGACACCTAGGCTGTTTGCGCAAATGCTCACTGAGACGGCCCTGACTCCAGAACTCGGTTGAGCAGACTTCGCACCTAGATCCCACGGCGCACAAAACGTGCTGCGCCCGCTTCCCGTGCCTTCGGGACTCATGAACTGCCAGATCTTTGCGGGTGGCAAAAGCACATGGGCAAAGCGGGCATGCCCAAGGCAGCTGAGGGCCGGACGCTGCCGTGATTTGGACCGTGTCACAGACCGGTCTGGGCTGTACCTTGGCCAAAGGAATCCAGCGGGATCGGATTCCATTGGTGAGGTAGAGCTTGCATTTGGCCCGCACCTCAGATGGCGGAAGGTGCACGGCAATGGGAAGGAAGTCGGACAGGGAGGCACCAGTCTCCGTGAGCCCAATCGCTCGCACTGCTTCCTCCGCCTGTGTCCACCAAACAACATCCTGAGCCAGCTCTTGTAGGACTGTGGAAAGCCCTTCCCGCGCCAGCTGCACCACAGTGCGTGTGCGTTCCACATTGAGAAGCTCTTCTGGCGTGGGTAGGCACAAGGCGCCGGCGAGCTCAGTGTTGCTGTAGCCTTGGCCAGACACCGCCAGGATGTGTCTGAAGGCCCCACGGTAGAAGCCATAAACGGTCTCCTCCACCGTGTCTTGCTCCCGTTGTGTTCCGAGAGTCCACAATCCTGACCCGTAAAAGAAACGGGTGAGGATGCGGCTACGAACAAGGTCGATCTTCTCCTGCATGGTCAGCGCCGGGTTTCGCAGCATCCTGTTCTTGATCGGTCGGAACATCTCACGAGCAAGCCGGCGTCGATGGAGAATAGCAGGGAGCGCATGTCCATCGGCTTGTACGAGTGAGCCCAAGTACTCGTACGAGGCCGTGACCCGGATCGCGCCCTCGCCATCACCTGACCTGAGGTCGATGGCGGGGGAGTCTTGACAGAATATCTGCTGTCGCACTCGTCGGGCCCCAGGACCATTGATGCTCAGAAGAGCTTCAGTTTTGCCAGGGCCCATGTTTGCCTTGAGGCCGGCTTGCCTGAGCTCCGCTAGGAAGAAGGACATGGTCTGAGCAACCGCAGTCATAACGGTCTCCGGGGCCGACGCCTGGAGTAGAATGCTTACGTCGTCGGCCCAGGTTGGCGTGAATCCATGTCCACCCGGGGCCGTAGTAGCAATAGAGGCCTGCAGGCCCTGGTCACGAAGGAAAGCGGCCGTCTTTTTCAAGACCCTGCCAAAGACCAACGAGAACATGACGTCGGCCAAAGGGGATCCTGGTGCGGTCCCGCTTCCAGCTACGTAAGCACTGTTGTTGTTGCGACGGGAGACATACCATGTCGTATCGAGCTGTTGTTGTAGGAAGCGTCGTAGCTCTGGGGTCATAGCCTCTTCGAGTTCGTTGGTGCTCCCTTGAACAATAGCAACAAATTCAGACTGGAGGCGCACGTCATCGAAGAGCAAAGCAGCCCTGCAATGCAGCAGCCGGCTGTCGGCTTTCTGTTGAGGCGTGAGTTCCAGGATGTCTTTGGCTATGGAGTAATACGCGGCTGCAGAGTCAATGAAAATGACAGCCCCACTTTGCTTGGTTCTCCGTAGCGCATGCAGGTGCGCCTTGACACAGGCCGAGGGCATGGCCAAGGTACGACGTGGTCGTCCTCCCATTTGGTCTGGGACGCTCATGCGGTCCATGGCCCCAAGCAAAGACGGTCTCATGGCTTTCTGCAGGGCTTTGTTGTCACATTCGAAGAGCATAATAGCCCGATAGCCCTGGTGCTGCGTGGCTGGTTTGCCAGGTTTGGGAACACAGACAGATGCGCCTCCGCGCCATTGGAAGGGCGCGGGGTCTCGCAAAAGGAGTTTGCACATCACCGGATAATAGTGGATGGCTAGCATGAGGGGGTTGGACCTGAAAACCTCCGGGACTAGACCTGACAAGCCCGGTGCTCTGCCATTTTGCAGGCTGGCGAACCCGGCCGCAAGTTCGGCTAGACATGGAAGGTTTTTTCCAGTCAAACAACCTTCAACGGGTCTAGCCTGGCAACTCCTCTGTAGTAGGGCGGCAACCGGCTGGGATTTCGCCCTCTCAGCCTTAGCAAAATAGGCACCAAAGCTGTCCGCAACGGCGTCTTTGGTCATCGGACACTCAGGTTCGTCCGAGAGGCAGGGCAGAAGTGGCGGGGCTCTGTACCGGCGGCCGGTGCGCAGAATTGCACGGAGTTTGTGTGCGAAGGTCGAGGGACCCGCCGATCGAGCCTCCTGAATGCCAGCGCGAGTGAATTCCGCCTTGTCGCGCCACATTGCCCTTCGCATCTGTTTACCATGGCGGTATTGGGTGGCCCAGCGCCGCGCAGCAGCTATCCTGTCCCGGCGGTCAGCTGCAAGGAGGCGAGAGGCAGTTCGGTCCTTGTATGCCCAAGCATGCAAGCAGAGCTGCAAGAATGCGCGGTCGGCAGTCCGCATGGCATGGCGTGTGCAGCGCCGCAAGTGTCGGTGTGCTCGTATCAGGGCAAGGGTCGGTGCTGACAGTGCCGGGTTGCGGGGCGGTTTGGTGTCAATGACCGCCTGAGCCGAGACAACACCATGAAGGTGTCTGTGTAGGGTGTCCACATGGGCGGTGCTGTCAGTCTCCCATTGCACAATAGGGCAAGTGCAAGCAGCCGCAGCGGCAACTTGGTGGTTCACTGGGTTACCCCAGATCTTGGCTTCTAGGCTGGGACCTTTCTGATCGACTCTAGCCTGGACCTTGGCCGTCACCTGCGCCATAACTGGCTGATGATCGATGTCAGCATGTAAATCGCCTAAACAGGGGGTTGGGCACGCCTCAAAAGCAGGCTCCCAGTTGTCGGGCACAGCCAAGTAATCGATCAGCTTCTTATGTCCCTGCGGGCTGGTCCATGACTGCAAGGCCTCGCCTGTCTTGAGGGAGTGAGGGGACAGATAAAGACCTTTTGCAGAGGCAAGTTGGAGCAACTGTTTGGAGTTGGCACATGTTGGCTTGGAATCAACTGTTTCTTGGACGCCAGCTTCGCGGGCAAACGTGGCGTTGGCGTCTAGGAACAGCAGAGGGGCACAGCCGGGAGGTGCCCTGTGGAGGGTCGTGGAGAAGTGGGACCACCAGTCGAGAATAGCAGGCTCAGGCGAACACGCTGGTGGCGCATGTGCGGAGACTAGCTGGACGCGGACACCTCTGTAGGTTCCAATGACGATAAGGATCTGTGGCTCAGCATGCACGATGGAGAACGCCTGTCTGTCCCAGTGTTTACTGTGGCGTATCCAGAGCTGGGCTCCCCCTATGCCTTTGTCAGTGCAAGCCGCAGACAAAACCCAGTAGGAACCGATGGTTGAGATCCCTTTCATATCAAGACGAGTCTCCTGAAATCCGGCAACGTCGATCTTATGCTTGCGCAGGCCAATCTCCATGAGCTCGGTCGCTCCGCTGCCGCGAAGGGACAACGGATTATATTGGAGGAGACGCAGGCAAATGTCGGCAATGCCGCACTGTGATTCTTCTGGCTGCATTCCAAAGAGCCGTGTCAGCGGCTTTGGGCAGGAAATCTGGCAGTTGGCCCGCGACCATGTGCCATCTTCTCGGAGGGGCGGCATGGAGGCAGCGGTATGGGGGCAGTCCGGCACCATCCACAGGTGATCAACTATTCCCTCATTAATTGCCGACCAGAAGTTCTCAAAAGTCAGGGCAGATGCGGTGACCGCGGGGTCGCGCTCGACGGCTTTCGCCGCCGCATCAGCCATGTCATTGAGTGCACAGTTGTCATGGGCAAGGACTTTGTGCAGGTAAATCTGCTTGCCTTGAGTAGCCAGTAGTGCTTTCAGGCCAATGGCAGCTCTGGCGACTTTGTCGGTTGCAGTGGTCATGGAAAGCCCCTGGATAACCTGGAGAGCCGACGAACAATCAATGCCGATGTGACAAGTAGGGCAGGG